AGTAGCATATGCTGGGATCAAGGACTACTATGTTTGTTAAAGTGAATGACTTTGACTTATATTCAAGGTCACAGGGGTCAAATTTGTTTAAAATCTTTAAACAACCTCTTATGAATAACCATGGGTCCCAGGATGTTTATACTTTGCAAGTTGCATCCTGAGATGAAAGGCTATACAATGTGTCCAACATAATGACTTTGTTCGACTTTCAATCACAAGGGTGAAATGTTTTAAAAAAAATTAACAGGGTCTTTTGAATGAATTTTTATCATAAATACTGATATTTTGCCTGTAGCTTTATTTTAGATCACTTTTAAGGTTACAAGTGTGAGATTTGTACCAGGTGAGCGATGCAGGCCCATTGAGCCTCTTGTTTTTATTTAAAATTCATACAGCTGGGTTTGAGAGTCTTTTCAAAGTGAGGTCATTGCTTACTTCTTGAGAAATAGCGATAACAAATTTGAACTGTCAAAATCCAAAATGGCTAACTGGTGGCCATCTTGTTTTTTCCCCAATCAGTCACAAAATGAAACATGTTCAGTACTTCTTGAGAAATAGCAATAACGAGAATTGTTTAAAGACAGATGGTGGGCAATTTGAATAGCCAACCATCTGATGATGGTGGGCTAAAACTTCATGGATAATAACTTAATAGTGGAAATAAGTTTAAATATTCAAACCATTTTTCTATAAACAATATTTGTTTGTAAACTTTCCATGGTACAGCTGTATTGAGCTTACCCTGGTTTCAGGTCAGTTTTGTATCCCTTGAGATGTGCCACAGCAAGATTGTACGCTGCATGAGGATGTCCCTGGTCTGACGCTTTTCTGAAACATTTACAACAAACTGTTTCATTGTGTGAATACAGGTTAATTAACCATCTCTACTTCATTTTGAAGAAGGAAAAGTTTTTAAAAAAAATTGTACATAAATTTCAAAAGTTTCATTATCCATTCTTTGAAGAATAAAAAATAGCAAAATTAAATTCATATCCCTTTAAATTTCATAAAAAAAAATCCATGTTTAAAGTTTAAAGATAACTGTCTAATGTTTGGTATAATGCAGTTTGTTTTATGTGTTTATGGCATTTCTTGAAAGACAAAATTAACATGAGTTGTTTTTAGAGAAGACTTTGGTGGTCTTAGGTCACCTGCCCAACCACCTTACATTTTTCTCTAAGTACTTAGGTTTGGACCTTTATTTTAAGTGTGGCGCAAGTCAATTAAGATCTCAGTCCCATTTTACAGAACCAACTACTGATACTCTGTTGTAATCCTACCTGAACCATTCCACTGCTTTCTGATGGTGTTTTTCCACTCCTTTTCCTGGAAAATAAGAACAACAAAATATTACTGACCTTACTGTTTAAATTCCAAAGAATTATATTTATACACTGTACCTACAAAAATACAAAGTCATTCCTGAGCAAAATGCAACAGAATTAGAAACAACTAAAACAATCCTAGTCCTTCAACAAAGTGGAAGCTAACATCAAGACCCTAGGCCTTATAAACTTAAGAAGAAGATTCTTAAAACATTTTATCCATTAAAACCTACGTTAACATTTGACCCTTGACAGTGTTGTGACCTTTGACATAAAAACAATATTTAAGAAAAAGATTTACATGCTGGTCTTTATGAGATATCCAAGTACCCCAGCTCCATACATTAGAAACATACCAGTGTTAATCCATGTGACCTTGAAAATTGGTCAAGGTCATTGATATGAAGAAACTTTAGAGTACTCTATTCCAGGTAATTCATTTGCTTAATATCAGGATCTGAAATTCTATAAAACTTAGGAAGAAGATTCTTAAACTGTTTTTCCCATTATAGCCCATGTTACCATTTGATTCGGCCATTGCTCTAAGTTGACCTTTGACTAAAACACATTGCATTTGTAAACCACATGAGCAACTACATTTTGACATACCCTTGGTAACATATTTATATATCCTGTTAGCCATTATGTTACACACATCAAAGAATCTTGCACATTGTTATTGGCACTATGAAAAGCAATTAAGCAATTCTGAATTAATTGGTAATGCTCATTATTCAAGGGAGATAACCCAACACCAATCACAAGCATGAATGTATCACACATTACACAGCATATATCCTTCTTAAGTATACTAATTGTTATGATCTTACCGTGTAGATACCGCTGTCCCACCTGGTGCTGGGCCTGGGGGTAACCAAGGTAACCATATGCATATGTGACATGGAAATGGAGGTGGTCAAAGTAGTAATATGCATAAATGGCAAAGGAAAGGGTCAAAATGATGATCAAAGCCTGAAAAGGAATACTTTCAGAATAAATTTTCTATAAGGATGTGAATAAGGTTCTTTTAATGTCATTTTTTGGGACATATGTTTTCTTAAAATACTTTTTTCCCTCTGTATAATCTATGTAATGTACTTTCTGTAAATTTCACTTGCTTTTTGTGTCGTCCAATTACTGTCACCTGACTTAATATTGGCACTCATCACATAAAAGAAACAAAACAAAACCACAAGTCCCTGAAGGCCTGCATCGCTTGCCTCAATATTTCAGTGATCATGTCAACAATTTCCAAGTTGTGACCCAGAAACTAAGTCCCTCCAGGTGGGGCCTGACCACAGGGTTAATTGAATGTTTTTGTCTCTTAATGTGCTGCAGTTGTATATATGATTATGTGGTGGGAACTCAAATGTTTCTATGATGTGAACCAGGAACTAAGTAAGTCTCCATGGGTGGGGCCAGACCTTGTGTCAATCCTGGTAGCATATGTGTATTTGTTTCTTTATACTCTGCAATTGTTTATATGGTGATAGGAAGGAGATTTTAACTGTTTCCAAGTTGTGACCCAGAATTTAAGTCCCTCCAGGTGGGGTCAGACCCAATGGTCAATTCAAATATCATGATTGTATTTGTCTCTTTATGCACAGTAATATATATATATAGTAATGGGGTGGGGATTTAAACCGTTTTAAAGTTATGAACCAAGTTTCTTAAAGTGAAGCTACACCCTAGAGTCACCCTGGTCCCACCCTTTAGCCCTTCCAGAAAACTGATGCAATTTTGAATCCCTAACTTGTGAGAATGATTCCAACCAAATAAGGTTGATATTCATCACCAAGTTTCAGAGAAAAAGTTAATAAAGAAAAAGCAATATTGCCATTAGGTTGATGTCGTTAAAAGTTGCATATTTGACCCCTGTGACCATGAGAGAAGGTCAAGGTCATGTATTTGACGAAATGTTATAACACTCCATTTGGTCAAATATCCTCCATTTAGCTGTCATTAAGAAGTTATTCAAAGGTAAAGTTGACAGATGGACGACGAACGAAACATGTACCATACCATAAGCTCAACAGTACTTCGTAAATCACATTTAAATGAGGAAAATACCCCAGAGTTCATGACCCGGTGGTCGCTTGACATGACGTAGTCAAAAACGTCGCCGCCTAGCGCGGTCATTATCATAATTAAGACACTGGTTGGTTCATATAACAGTTTAACGTTAACAATATGTCTACAAGCGGGTCATGCTATTGCCTTTTAGTCTGTTGGTATTTTGCTTATTAACATTATAATAAATAAATAATTCACTGTAATATACGATTAGAAATTTGAAGTAGAACTGAGTCACAGCTTTAACAAGTTATTCCATCACTCGCGAGCATAACAGCAAACACACAAACCTCTGCAATCCGAATGTGCCATGGATCGGCCTTCTTTTTGCGGGCCAGGTACACTTTACCGCCGTATGGTAAACTCTGGTCATATTCTGGCTCATTTTCTGGAATTAAGCGCTGTCTTACTTCTTGCTCTGCTCCAGAACGTGAAAACGCCGCCATGTTGTTTACATCTATCTCAGCTTCCACAGCCAAATAACCTGCTGCCACCTGGCGGTAGCGTACGTGTCGCTATAGAAACGGCAGGCGAGGAAATCGATAAGAACAGGCATCTATATCTAGAGGTAGAGCGGTCTACTTATATGCTTTGTGTATTGTCTGTAAATATATCGATTTTGTTCCCCCTTGTATCAATAATGTAGAAGAACAGGTAGCCTACATTCGTTTAATCGATTAAAATTCGTTACAATTTACCTGGGCTAAAAAAAACAGCACGGTGATTGACATCATATGGCCCGCATATGTTACGGACAGACATTCGTGGGGAAGGTACTTAGTCAATCCGTTACACGAGTGATAACAATCGTATCAATATTTTAAAACGATTTGTTAAAAAGTGAACAAAATTAGCTATGTTGCTTTTGGTCCGTTAAATATCCGAGAGTCAGGATCCCCGTACTGCCAAAAACTCATTTTTCCGGCTTGACTACCAAATCGGGACAGTAGTCAGTACCCAAAACGGGACACTAGTGGGGAAAATGGCACAAGAAAATGTCATTCAATGCAAAGAAGTTCTGTCATGTATAGAGTTTTCATTTGATAATACTTGTCATGACTGTATTAGGCTTTACTGAATGGCTGCTGATTTTCGTTACATTGACAATTTAAAGGTAAAAACATGGAATTAGATTATACCGTCGGCCAAGAGTCAAGACCTCGTATCTCGGTTTTTGGCCAAAATGATTTTTTTGCACCAATATACTCTTCCCGCCTTGCTTCATAATGTGTATAAAACACTTATCTCTAGTCCAATCAGAACATGTTGAAAAACCACATGACATTTTCCTCGTATTACCTAGGATGATAATTTATAAAGCTAAAACCTCGCATCTTAAGTTACGAGATTTTGTCTTTACAAATAGCCATGAGGATGATAATTTATAAAGCTAAAACCTCGTATCTTAAGTTACAAGGTTTTGTCTTTACAAGTATCCATGTGATTGAAAAACTGGGACGGTGCACAGAAGAAGAATCCACTAATGTAAGTGAAACACTTAATATTTAGTGTACAATTAATATCTTTAGAATGTATTACAAGCAACTGTAAGGTACTTCGGTTTACAAATTGTTATTATTGTGTAAATAGCCCCAATTTGGCACACAGTGAAATCAACCAAAATACCCCCTTCCCGCCTTGTTGCCATTTTAGGGTTTGTAAATCATCTTTCAGATTGTATGTCTATAGATTACTCCTTGAATGGTACTTTACATTATTGCATAATGAGTTGAAACCAGATTATGTCTCGGATAAAACCCTTATTTTGATGTTAAATCAAGATACGTGGTTTTGCACTTAAATATTTTTCCACCTTCCTCGGAGATACGAGGCTTTGACATTGTACAATTTTTTTTAAGCATTCTGTGGGCAACATTGAATTAATTTCTTATCAATTATGATCGATATTCAAAGTTTATTGAATTCTATAAAGTCTTGGCTGTTAACTGTGATGTGATTTTAGTATTTCTGTTTCTAGTGTTGTTAAAAATACTAATATTAATTCATCTTGACAGTTTAAACAAAACACTGCTTTATTACAATGTATTTAAGTAAAGACGAAACAATATCTGAAACATTATTTTATTTGTTCTAGGGCATGTCTGACTCCGGATCAGAGACTGTAGATTTAGATGAAGTATGGCAATGTTTCGAGTGTAGCAAAACGGCAGTAGATTGTGGAAAACTTGAGGACCAGGCCATATTGAACGAACAAACAGTACTGTATGACATTGATGGTGTAGAGTGGTTAAGGTGCTACTTTTGCGACAGACATTTTCATCTTGATTGTGTAGACAATATACCGGAAAACGCTGATTTGTATGACATTGAAAATGACCACTACACATGTTCTTACTGTGGTTGGTTTATGAGCAGTAAGAGTATAGTTTCGTCCAAATAATGACATCCAATGAATGGCTCCGCAGCAGCCAGGACAATCTGCTCGCATCAGATACGCACAACGTGACACAATTACTTCGCAACAG